TTGCCAGCATGCACAAGGCCCCAGGTTCCATCCCTAGCACTCCACCAAAAAAAGAATAAGCAAAAATGTTGCATTATCAATTTTGTTTAACTGTTTTAAGTATTAATTTTTGCAGTATGTTATGTTCAGTTCTTATGCATCAAGCAGCCATTAATGAATTAGTTTAGAACATAACAATGATGTAGAATGTTTTTGTGGGCAAATGTATTCCAAATGCCAAATGACCAGCTTATAGAATTAGAAATGTAACTTGCTTATGATTTAAAAATTATATGCAGAGTATTTTGAAGACAGAATTTTACTTAAAATTCTAGGAGTCTTACACTTTGGAAGATGAGCTGTTCCCTTCAGGGTTTGGAATGACCTCTGTTGCTTGGCTATGGTTACACTGCAGGTTTCCACTGGGTGTGAGAAGGCACAGGGCCTGTCAGTCTCTCCTGGCRTTCAGCCTGGAGTCCCAACAGTCCAGTTCTGGAGAGATGCTGTGCTAGGGACTCCAGACCCTTCCCACTGTCTTCAGAGACAKCATTTACCACAGTTGGGTCTTATCGGAAATGAATTTTATCTTAAGAACATCTTTGTTCAGAGTCGGCCACAAGGGTTCCGAATGTTAGTTTCACTGGTACCTGTGTCTGCCCAGGTACTGTGAGACTGTATCAGATGTCCTAAGCTCTGTGAAGAAGATGGAGGCAAGTCTGAAGAGGCTGAAGCAGGCCAGAAAGACCGCTGCAGCCAGCCCCGTGGGCCCCAGCAGTGGCATGAGTGATGACGACAAGATCCGGCTGCAGCTGGCCTTGGATGTGGCATACCTGGGCGAGCAGGTACTGGGAGCCGCCTCAGAACCAGCAGCCCAAACTCGGGTCCCAGGACCCAACAGGGACCTGGCACTCCCTCAGGTGCTGTTACYGAGGCCAGGACATCAATCCCATGGCCTAGGAGAGGAAAGTCGGGCCCAGGCCGCTCTGGGTTAAAGGGTTTGTACCCGGAGCAGGAGAGAAAGAGGCAGGAGAGTGCCGAGAGTTTCCATTGATGGCCAGCTGTGCTGGCAGCTATGCGGGTCACAGGTGCAATTCCCATGCCTTCTGTGCCTGGGAGGGACCGTGCTGCCCTAACATGCTTACCAGTGGCTACAGAGAACACAGCAGTGCCCTCCTGTGGATGCAGGAAGTGAGCTGGTACAGCTGCTTGCTTCCCTCCTGGGTGGTGAGGCTGGCGTAGCCCATCTGTGGGGCAGCCTCATTCTCAGCATCTTCAAGCTGGCAGGTGTCCAGATGGCCCCTGTCCAGATTTTCCCCAAGCAGTCGCTCCTCAAACAAGAACTCTGCCAGAGAGGGGGAGTGAGGCAAGCCACATGTCCCTGCCCAGGCCCTCCTGGAACCCAAGTTTCTGTTCTGAGCTTTTGGATGTCTCCTRCAAAGCCCATTGCCTATTGCATGTCATAAGAGAAGCAAAAAGTTTGCTGTAGAGACATGGAGAGTAAATAAGCAAAAGGGAAACAGGTGGGGGAGGCAGGGACAGGCTCCCACAGTCCAGTGCCAGGCCAGCTGCGCGGTGCCAAGTACTGCCCAGCCTTTTCTTCCCATTCTGTGCACACACATTATTCTTGAACAAAAACAGGCCCTAACAGGCACTTAGTGGCTATAGTCACCATAGTAGGTCAGCACCAGTGTGTTCTGTCCATCTCAAGGTCCCAAGAAAAGGCTGCATGGAGAAAGCAAGAACTCAGGCCAGTACTTGTCTGGAAATTCTCCACTTAAAGAACAATTTTTTTTTTTTTTTTTTAGTTGTGAATTTCCTCTTGAGAACTTTTTTTAAGTCCTCAAAAGAGGCCCTTGTGCTCATCCGTCTGATTTGAAGGACTGAGATTAGGTAACATACTGGCTTCTTAGGATGCAGAGGGTTTGACCCAAAAAACATGAAGTTCTGCAGTAAGTCGACCCTTTTTTCCAAAGGAGAAGGTTCCTGCAGGTCCTCAGGGCACTGCCCTCTTCTGASTTGATCGGGTGTTTGGTGGCTTCTCGTGTGTGTTTCTTTGCGTCTGGCTAAGCCTCAGGACAATGACTCATTCTCATGTCTTTGCAGATACAAAAGATGGGCCTGCAGACAAGCAACATCAAAAGCTTCACAGCCCTTGCAGAGCTGGTGGCCGCTGCCAAGGACCAGGCAGCCAAGGACCAGGCAGCCACGGAGCAGCCATAATGACCTGGTGGCCCAAGGGAAGAAAGCAGCTCTGTTCTCAGCAGAGAGGCGCATCCAGCATTGCCCAGCAACGCCCACACCCACCTCAGCACCTTTGGATCTCCTTTCACCCAAAAAGAACAAAGGCCTTTTTCCATTGTATGGATCAGTTTTTAAGACATTTGAAACTTTTTACTGTAGTTTACAGATCAGATGATTTTATTTTTATTGCAAATCTTAGCGTGGAAGAGCTGATTCTAAAGCAGGGTTCGAGTTCATGCATAGGTGGGGCCCAGCTGTGTCCCAGGCTGGCTGAGTGCTGGGACTGCATGGTGCTGCACCAGTGGACACACTGTCTGCTCATGGACAGGGACCCAGCACCACTGTTCTCGCTGGTCTCCTGGACCTATCAGGAKCCAGAGCTGGAGGAGGAGATGATTTCCTGAATAAAGGAGTGCCTGCTGCAAGCCTGCGCCATCCTGTCCTCCTATGAGTTCCCTCGCCCTGGGTAGCATGGCTCCCCTGCAGGTCCCTTACAGGGCACCTCCCTGGGCAAGGGAGCTCTGTCCGAACCAACACCAGAAGGTGCCTTCTGCAGGCCAGCGAGTCGCCCTCCTGATAGGCCGCCACTGGTGGGCAGGGGGGTTGCCCTCCTGGTAGGCTGGCCCTGGTAGACAGGGGGCTCCCAGCCAGTGGCTCCCCAATGGACCCTAAGTCCCCAGCCCCCTGTTCTGCCTTTCTCACTAGCCTCAGAGCAGGAGGTGGGGTGCAGCCCCAGCCCCCAGCACAGGCATGTTGTCTCCATCTCACAGGTGGGGAACCAAGGTGGGTCATTGTTTGGAGACATAGGCAAGGTGGTTCCAGACCAGTAGTTGACCACCTGCTAGGCTTCCCACCCTCCCTGTGTCCACCTCTGCAGAGGATGGCCTTGGGTAGTGACAGTCCTCTGTCGGAGTATCTGCCTGGGGCTTAGGAAGGAGGAAGCTGGTGGTTACAGAGTGCTGTCTGCAGTTCTCCTTTCTTTCATCTGTTGATGGTTTAAAATACAGTGGTGCTTCCTGCTGGGAAGAGCCACTTTCCCCCTGCCACGCAGACTGAGCACACCTCAGGGCAGCTCCAGGTTCCCCGGGAGCCACTCTGCATCCCCGGGGYCTGCCTGCACAAGTGGCCACCAAGGTGGTGGCTGAACACAACAGAAATCCAGTCTGTCACACTTCTGGAAGCAGAAGTGCAAAAGCAGGTGGCCCTAGGTCCTGCTCCCTTCAAAGGCTCTGGGTGGGAGGTGGGTGTCTTCTTGGAAGCCGCTGCCTTCCACCCACCCACTCAATACAGCTCACTGGGAGGAAGCGGGAGGTGCCCCGGGTGGTTGAGGCCTAGCTGGGTGAGCAGGCTGACATCTCCACCTCTGGGTGCCTCCAGCCCATTCCCAGCTGGGACTGGATCCAGCTGTAGGTCAGCTTTGGAGCTGCTTTGGACTCAGGCTGGCCTCCTGGTCAGAAAGTGGCTGCAGCTCCCGTGAATGCTGGAGTTGCCCAGGCAGGGCTGCCCCACAGCTTATCCCCTCATGACAGGGGAAGCAGGGGGACCAGGATGCTGTGCAGAGGGCAGTGCTGAGCACACTCCCTGCACCCTGCAAGTRCACCACAGACCAGGCCCTGCCGTGTCACTGCAGGTCTCCTCCGCAGCACCCGGGCCTTGGTGGTCGTGGCCGACCCCAGTCTCATGTATGGGCACTTTGCACCCCAGGGAGGTTTCTCCCAGCTCAGGGGAAGAGTGCATAGGGCAGACGGACCCCATGCTTGCCGCTGTTGTGGCGTGCCGGTGAACTGCGCCGTCTCCCTGACCCAGCCGCCCACCTAGAACTGCACAGAAAGCAGCGCGGCAGTGGGCAGCACTGCTCCACCTGCAAAGCAGGAGGCCACCTTCCCACAGACAGAAGGCAACACCTTGGGACCCCAGCCACAGCAATGCCACACTGGACGTCCCAGGAGYCAGGGGCAGAGTGACTGGCTGGGTCCCTGGTGTGAAACTCGGCACCTTGCAGCTGATTGTTTAAGTGAAGGTACTAGAGACGCATGCCCCCCACCAGCCAGGAGTCACCACGGAACAGGGCTGCTGTGGTTCTGGGAACCCTGCCACCCACCTGCGCTCGCAGAGCAGAGCCATTCTATTCCACAGGAGCTCCCGAGGCTGGTGTGTACTCAGCCTCTGCAGAATGCAGCCGCTGGCTGGAGACCTGGGGCCTGGACCTGTGTCCAGCACGACCAGGGCTATGGCTTCCCTCAACTTTTCCTGAGAGAGGTGGAAGCATCGCCAAGGCCATCCAGCCTGCCCGGTACCTACCTCTTCCTTGGCTTTGCTGAGACAGAAACTTTGGGTCTGATCCATTGAGGGGCCAAGTGTTTGAGAAGATTTAGGACCCTGCCCTCTGCTCTTGGGACCCCCTGAACAGCAATCCAGCCCTCAGCCCTGTTCCCCTCTAGGTCCCCTGACGGACAGGCCTTCCACCACACAAGCCTGACTCTCCTGCTCCTGGCAGAGGCACCCAGAGCACATGGGCTGCCCCCTCCCCCCCCGCCCCCCCGCCAAGAGCAAGGGGTCACGAGAGCTCTGTGGACTGTCAGCTGAATGGCTCGGCAGCCCTGCTCACAGTGGAGGATGTTACTAGCCACCTGAGGATTATCAGCCAGGGTGGTAGGATTGCTCTAGCATGAAATCAGGTCTGTGTGTCTTTCTGCAACCACAGGTATCATGGGAAGAAAAACTAAGGCATTGTGGGAACTACAATCTCACATTCAGTTCGCTGAGTATAAACCCAAGGCAATGAGACAACATGTGTTTTAATCTTAAAGCCCAATTTCTATTAGAAGAGGACACTTTGGTTTCAGAGACAGTGGATCTGTTCAGACTCCCCCTCTGAAGAATCGTCCTGGTACAGCACAGTGCCTCCCTCACTCTCCACTCACACCTGTGTCTGCTCAGGTGCCACGTTGGCAAGGAGCCATGCTGAACCACCAGGGGCGGGGAGGAGAAGGTGGCAACCGGTGGCCGATTCTGCCAGGTTTGCTCTTCTGCTGGCCTCAACTTGGATGGCCAGGCACAGTGGCCTTGCAGGGCCTCACACCACATTCAGAGGGTTGTCCACACGGCCCAGGAAGTGCAGGGCACCCGAATCCTTCTCATAGATGGCGAACAGGAACGGGCTGCTCAGCGTCACCTCCAGGGCCTCAGACATGCTGGGCTGCTGGGCAGACTCTGCAGGCTGCTCTTCCTCATCCGCTTTGAGTTCAAAAAGAAGGCTGTTCACCACCTGCAAGGCAGTGGAAATGGCCTCTGTCCTAGGGCACACAGGGCCCAAGGCAGGGAAGGCGCCTGCAGGCCCACCACAGGACTCCGGCAGTTCCTGCCTCCCCTGCCTGTGCCCTCCGTCTCCACCCACCACCTTGCTGGGCAGGATCCCTGGCTCTCTCGCCAGAGAGTGGCTCCTGAGCACAGAAGAAGCTGCAGGACAGAGCCTGGCCAGGGACACCCCCACTGCAACTTCCAGGGAAGACCCCAAGTCCTGGCCTGGTTGAGCAGGGCCCAAACACTCCTGGAGCACTAGAGGCAAGGCTGGGCAGGAGCTGCTGTCCTGCACTGTCCCTGGGAAGTCCCGGAGGGCTCTGGACACGTCCCTCCCAACATGGCCTACTCCCCTGCAGGTCTTCTTTCCCTCCTGCTCTGACAGCCTCACCCACAGCCCCGTTTGTGTCCCATCCACACCTCCCCTAGGCCAGCACCAACCTCTCCCACTCTGAGGTCGCCATCACTGATCCTGCCCAGGTTCGCCTCTGCTCCCAGCAGCGTGGGCAGCTTGGCCCGAGCCAGCAGGTCCTGCAGGTCGTAGGAGCCTTGCAACTCCAGCTGGGGCATGGTCAGGCGGATGACCCTGGGGAGATATGTGGTCAGGGGGCTTCAGGGGACAAGGCAAGGGCTCCCAGGAACCCAGGGGTATATGCTCCTTGCTCCTGCCCCTGAGGAAGAGGAAGTCTAGCCCTCACCCAGCTAGGTCATCCTCACCTCTAGGAAAACCTCAGTAACAAATACAAAGAAATCCTTAAGCGTAAAGGAAATGGCATGGGAAGGGCCCGCATCTCCAGGGCTTGTCCTGGGGACTGGCTAGGCAGCTTTTGGGCTTTGCTCTGCTCGCTTCTCAGGCTGGCTGTGTGGGGGCACTCCTAGGAAGCCCTGAGAGGTGTCACCCCAGCTGGCTGCAGGGTGCTCTGGACGGAGACTCTGGGCAGGGGCTGTGGTCTTGACCTCAGCTTGTGCAGTGCCAACCCATTAGCTCCAGTGACCTCCACCTCCAGCTACTTCCTCTGGCAACTTTGAGGGACACAGGCACTTCTGGTGACACAGCCAGCCCTGGCCAGTGTGTCATGTCCACAGCCGAGGCTTCAAGCCATGGGGGAAGCCTCACAAGTGTCCCCGGACAGACGTATGAATGACTGTGTTTCTGCATAGTGGCTGGTGCTYGACCCCAGGGGAGAAGGGACCTGAGGTGGGCAACCCATGGCCGGCCAGAGGGCGCTGTGGGCTGCCAGAGCTCGGGTGGGTTGGCACCACACAGGCCAGTGTCAGTGTTGCACTATTAGCGGGCTCTGGAGACAGGCTGCTGGTGGAGGCCCACCATGGAGACAGCTCCATGCCAGGACACTGGGATGGCCAAGGTGGCGCATTTTAGGTCAGGTGTATTCCATCACAATTCAAACTAAGACCCTCAATACATACTGATTTATCATTACAATATTATAAACCTAAAAATCTCAAAGTAAAAAAAAATAAACTCTCAAAGAGAGTTGGCATCAGGGTCCCAACTCTTCTCCCTGGCACTGGCCCTGGGCCAGACCCTGGGCCCGTGAGTCTGGAGGACCAACAGGAGGAGGCCAGTGCTCTGCAGGAGGGGCTGCCACAACAGAAAGAAGAGCAGCTGAGGCCAGGCCCTCCCAACATCAGTCTCCGGAGGCTCTGGGGTGTCGGGACGGGCCTGAGTGTGGGGTTGAGTCCCTTCTCAGAGAGTGGCTTAGGTGTTTTCTCCTGCAAAACCTGGGCTCACACCGCTCTGAGAATCGGGTGCTTCCTCTTCTCCCAGCCTCGCCTGCGGAGCCCAGGGGATGGAGGGCTGGGAGGTTCTGGTGGACACCCAGGTTCAGTCCAGCCTGGCATCCTGGGCCTGTCCCACTGTGCTCACCCTCCTACCCTGGGCTAAGCTGGCACAGCTCCCCCAGTTTCCAAGGCACTCAGAAGTTCCTACCGGGGAGACAGGTTCTTCATCCAGGCCAGGAAGTCATGGTGGAAGACGAGGGCTGTGACCCTGTCCAGATCAGAGGCACAGTGCGGCTGGATCAGCAGCAGGGATGAACTTTCGCCCAGGGGCATGCGGGTCACGGAGAAGTTGTTCTGCACGTCAGCCCAGTGCTGAAAGGTGCCAGTGCCCGAGAGCATGGGGACAGACACTGAGGTGCTGTTGTCCACCCAGAACTCCTGGGGCCCGGGCAGCAGCGAGAAGCCCTTCATCTTCCCTGCAGCCCAGACAGAATAGGAGGGGATGGTCAGCAGCTGGGCAGGCTGTAGACCATGGCAGCAGCGGTGGGGCCTGGGCCTGGGCAGCCTTGGCCAGGCTGCTCTGCTCCTCTCCTTCCCCACCCTTAGCCTCCTTCCCCACCCAGCGGCCACCACTGCCCCGGGCTCAGGCCCACACCTGCCAGAACCCGAGGGCTGCCCGTCTTCCACCCAAGCCTGGCTGCTGAGCCACTGCACTTGCTGTACCCGGGACACCAGCCCTGAGGCTGAGATCCAAAACGACCCTCAGGGACTGGCCCTGGGCTCCTGATGAAGAGCCCACCAGACCTGCCTTGCCCAGCCCAGGCTCACCTCTCTTTTCCTGACTCAACATGACCCTTTAAAGCAGCGTTAGGGCCATAGTTCAAGTACAAGTGCAGAGATCTCCCAACGCCCAGCCTCAGCCATTGACACCCTACCACAGCAGCCCACTCATCAGAGTGGCCAGCTGTTGCCCAAAGCCACAGTTCACAAGGGCTCACCCTGGTGCTGAACCCAGTGGGACTGGACAGTGGACAGTGGTGACCATCCACCATGGCAGCTTCACAGCCTTTCCTGCCTGAGGCCCAAGGTCCTCATGCAGCCCCTAAACCTGCTGGTGGTGCTCAGCCCCCACTACCGCTCACTGACCAGGCCCCAGCCCTGGAACCCAGGCTCCAGCTCTGCACCTCTCTTGCCCAGGGACAGGCAGGACTGAGGACCAGTGAGCTGGGGTGGTGGAGTGAGGTGAAGGCAGCCCGCAGGAGGCCCCAGGGAAGCCTGGTCAACAGGGGCTCCATGAAAGCCCTAACCCCTACCTGGCCTCACTTCCCTGTCCTAAGAGGCTGAACACAGCTCTGCCCTCTGGATTGGGGCCTTGTGAAAGTGGAGTGGCATTGTCCTCGACCCTCAGAACCTTCGGTGGGAGGATGACAAGGACCACTGTGTGAAGCCATATGAGCAAGAAGCAGAGCATCCCCTTGCGTGGTCCCCAAGGGACCTCAGTGGAGCTGCCTAGAGGGACACAGGACTTTTCCTCCAGCCACAGTGACAGAAGTAAACCCCCGCAGCTAGCCTGGGTGGTGGTGCCCCTCCTGCCACTCAGCTCAGTGTTTGCCCCAGAGGCGGAGTGAGTCCCTGCAGTTRGCGGTCAGCTCCCATGAAAACTGGAGCTGCAGGGAGCTCAGGGACCAAGGACACCCGAGCAGCACACCTGTCCCCATCCCGCCGTCTGCTAAGGGTGTGGGACTTAGAACACCACCCTGTGGCAGCACAGCAGAGTGACCAGGGGTTTCCTCACCATAGAAGTGGACAGAGGTGCTGAAAATCAGGGTGCTGTCTGCTCGGGCCCCTGCCAGAGGCCCGCCTGTTGTCCACCCTGTCACGGCCTGCAAGAACCTGCCAATCTTCTCAGCAGCAAGCTCTGGGTCTGAGGACAAGTCCAGAGAGCGCGGGAGGACCACAGGGGCAAAGGTGGCCAGGCCCTGCACAAAGGACTGCTTCAGGCGCAGACCAGGGGCTGTGAACAGGCCCACCACTGTGGACAGCAGCAGTGGGGCCCGGCCACTAGCCCCACCCTGGGCCACCAGAAGGCCCTGGGTGGCCTGCAGGGCAGAGAGGACCCTATGCCCATCCAGCCGGGAGGTGCAGCCCTGGTCTTCCCCAGGTGCACCCAGGAATGACTGCAGCTGGCTGGCTGTGGGGTCCAGAGCTCCCAGGTAGAAGGAGGCCAGCGTGCCGAAGAGAGCCGTTGGGGAGAGGACAGCCGCGCTGTTTGCGCCCCATGCCTCGCTCAGCATCTTGTACATGCGGAAGCCCATGAAGTTGGCCATCATCCCCACCTCTTGGGCTCTCAGTCTGTCTTCAGCCTCCAATTTCTCAGCCACCAGCACCAGCTGGGCACGCATGGCCTCCTCGTCCACTGGGGCTGTCTTGGCCTGAATCGGCACAGGCGTGAAGGTCGGCTCTTTGGGTGTCTCCAGGTCGGGTTTCTCCAGCTGGACACAGGTGCTCTTGGGGTAGAAGAGGAGGTGGAAGGGATGTACGTACACCCGGTCGCCAATGGCCAGGCCAACCCAGGCCAGGAGGCACAGGACTGTGGCCTTCAGGGCCACACCAGCAGGAGCCATCTCTGATCACAGCAGCGCTCACTCGTCTGTACCCTGAAACAACATTTTGTGAAGGGTAAAGGTGACTATCCAGGAGGTCCCCAGCCAGACTTTCAGTTTACCCCGCATTCCCTGAACCTCAGAGCCAAGAGGTGCCTGGGGTGCTCTAGTAGTGGACAGGAGGGGCGGAGCCAGACTCCTCACAGCCCAGGCGCCAACACCTGGCTGGGGGCCGAATTGCCCTGTCTCCGTTCATGCATTGAAGTCGTCTCCAGGACCCCGGCAAGTGGCCATAGCTAGAGATGGGGTCTTTAAAGAGGTGCTTAAGTTATGATGGGATCCTAACAGTGGGACACACAGAGGGACAGCCACTGAGGACACTAGGACCGGGCGGTGTCTGCAAGATCAGAGAGGCCTCAGCAGGAGAAGCCTGCTGCACCCTGACCCTGGACGCCAGCATCTGGGCTATGAGACAGTTGATTCAGACTTTGAAGCCCCAGGCTGTGGGCAAGAGCCCTGGGGGCTGAGGCTTCCTCCCAGGGAGTAGGAAGGGCCAGCGGTAGATCCAGGTGGAGCCCCTGTGCTCCCTGCTGAGATGCTCATCAAGTGACTCTGGATGGTTTAGTGTCCATGAGATCCTAACTGCTGTAGGGCTTGACCCAAACCCTGGCCTTCYCCCATATCCCCAGCTCCAGGCCATCTTCACCGTCCTGTCCAGTGGCCCTTTGGTCTCCAGGGACAATGCCTGTCCAGTCCTGTTCCTTGTAGTTGGCCTCGCTCGTCTGTGCTGGGCCAGGAATAGATCCTTTAAGTCTCTGACATGCAGCCAGGGCTCAGAGCCCTGCCCAAGCCACAGTGGACAGGGCAGTCAGGTGAGCCCTGGAGGCCTGTCCTTCAGTGCCCAGAGGGCTCCAGCCTCAGCTGAGCAGAAAGGGATGGAGCTGGCCAGGGATGGAGCTGGCCAGGGATGGAGCTGTCCGGGCTGGGCAGGGGAAGGCAGCTGGGCTGCCCGGTCCTCCACGCTGTCTGCTCCTCTGGGTTGAGGGGAGGGAGCTCGTCCTGCTGGTGGCTCAGGTCAAGACATGTGGCATCTCATTTGCTGCTTGCAGGGGGCGTGCTACATTGCCCTGTCACTGAGGCCATTCTGCCCACCTTGCTGTGCCTTGGTCCCAGCCTGGCCTTCCCTGTCCTACCCATCTCAGCCCTGATTCATGGGCCTTGCCTGGCAAGCTGTCTGCGCCTTACCCTGTGAGCCTGGATTAACACCCCAGGTCCTTGAGTTAACTGGTACTTGGATTAACACCCCTAAGGCCTGGCCCCAGGGCAGTGCTTCTGGGAGGTGGCAGAGCCCTTCGAAGGAGTGGCCTCATTGGCCTCCACGGCACCCCATCATAGGTCTGTCCTATCCTGGGCTGGAAATTCCAAATCTGAGCCAAAATGAAACTGTTCACGTCACAGTTGACTATCTCAGAATCTCCTGGTGAGGCAAAGCTGCCGGCACCTGCCTGGCCTCCACACCCCCACCAGGACACTGAGGCCTCCCTGTGTCCTGTCCTGCTCAGTTCACCTACTGCCAACGACCTTTGACTTTTGACTTGGCGCCTCCTCCCCCTCTTCCCCATGCATCAGACCCAGTTTACTCTTCTCATGAAACATGCAGTGGGCAAAAGGGCAGGGCCTCTGCCCCCACCCCAGGACCTCCTGTGCAGACAGGCCCCTGCTGGCCTCATAGGGCACCCTGTGGGCTTGGAGACGTGGGGAGCACAGCCTTCCCACCTACTGCTCCTGCAGACTGCTCCTCTGGGGGCAGCATGGTGGCCCTGAATTCACTCTCAGCAGGGACCTGGGGCCAGCGAAGGGGGCAGCCGTCCTTCCCAGCCTTTCCCTGCCCAGCCTTTCCCCGGAGGGTGGCGCACACTTGTACACTGCCACCCTGGCAGGCGGTGTCTCCGCTGTCCAGCCAGCTAGTCTCGGTCACCCTGGCCTTCTGGAGGCTGCCTGGAAGCACTACTGCTCTGTTGTGCGGAAGTGCAGGTTTGTCTGTCTCCTCCCACGTGAAGGCAGCCCCACAAGAGCCATTTCCGCCTCGTTCCCAAGGTGGCCCCAAACAGGCAGCTGGGCGAAGTCATTAGTGCCATGTCGCAAGGGACAGAGAGGTCCAGGGGCTTGCTCCAGGGCCCACAGCCAGGAGGAGACAGAATCCAGACTCAGCCAGACCCCAGGGCGCAGCAGGTGGCACCGAGGCCCAACTACGTTGTCTCTTAAGGAACACCAGGGCCCGCCTTCCGCCACCTACAGGAGCAGGAAGCACTTCCGCGTGGTCAGGCTCTGTCCCTGTGGGCCTAGCCCAAGAGCCAGCATTGTCTGGAGTCTGGCTTTATGTAGGTTCAGGAACAGAGTGGTGAACAGGTTGCACTGACTCAGACCTCGATCCCAGGACCAGAGAGAGACTCTGCTTAAGGGTCATGCAGGTGGAACACCCTGAGCCCTGCGGGGCCCTGAGACCAAGCCCCTCCCTGTCCGCTGCCTATACATGAAGCCTGCTGTCCCCTCAGATGGGAAGAGACCCAGTGGACTATTGGCCACAGGGACACTAGTCCTGGGCCAGGTCCTTCACCCTCGATCCCCAGGTCACCAGAGGAAGCAGGAGCCAGAGGCGATCCTGGCTTGCAGCTAAGGAAGAAGCYGTCTCCAGAGCCCAGGTAATGGCTGGGGAGGACGGCCACATCTCAGGGTCTGGCCTTGCAGGTGGCACGTCCCCTGTGAAGCGTGGCCRCCACAAACCCTCATTCTTGATCCCGGATGAAGGAGAACAGCCCCTCCAGCAGCTCTGMCCCTGGCCACCTCGCTCAGCCCACAGCTCAGCTGCAGCCAGGGGAAGCTGAGGTCTCCACTTACCTCCTGCGTCAGCCCTGGACCAGTGCAGCTTTGCCCTGGCCGGCCACCAAGGCCCTCTTTATACCCAAGAGTGGGGTGGAGCCGTTCCCAGGCCACTCTGTACACAAGTGGGGGAGGACCAGGGCGGGGGCTGCAGGTTTAGCCAGGACTGGCCRCTCTGGGACCCCTTCCAGGAAGTCCTGGCAATCAATGTGGCCCCTCAGCTGAGCAGATGGGCTGGTGCAGCGTCCAGTTACACATTGACCCAAGTTCACCAGAGCTGGGGCCCTCTTGTCCTTCAGCTGGGCTGTGAGCCTGAGGCCCACCATCAGGCCTCCTGAATCAGCCCCCCCAGGGGGCCAAGGTCATGCCGGAAGAGGGGACAAGGGCAGGGACAGGGCTGGGGGGGCTGCTCGACACCGGCAACGTGTGGCCAGATCAAAAGGCCCAAAGTGCTCTCAGCTCTATCCTGGCCGTCCACCCTGTGGGTGCAGATGGTGGGCTTGGACACTGATGGACTCTCGAGGGGAGAGCTGTGTGATTCGGATAAAGAGGTGAGGGGTGCGGGACAGCTGAGGACACTGGGTGCAAATGCTCACTGTGTGTGAACCAGATGCCACCCACTGGCACAGAGGCCACTGCTCTGGGGAGCTGGATGGACACCCAGGAAAGCTGCCAGGGACAGAGGAAGGCTGGCAGCTGTGGGCCACAGATGCCCTTGGACTGGCCAGCAGGGGTCAGTGCCACCAGGGGAGGAATGAAGCAGGCCTGGCTCAAGCTTCTGAGGAGTCTCAAGGAGAAGCTGTGGACACTCGGCGGCCAGCTATGAGGCCCAGGAGGGAGCTRTGGGCTGAGGTGTGGGTGCAACAGTTGGAGGCCGTGTCTGCTCTGCCCCCAGCTCCAGGCACCAAGCTCCTGAGTGGAGGTCAAGGGACACCGCCCTGTGGTCTTTGCCCTAATCCCGAGTTCCTGGCCTCAGAGCCCTTAAGCACCTGGGATTTCCAGAGCTTTGGTGGCTTTGGGTCGGCTCATGAGGTCCGGTGGCTGGAGCTCTGGGGGATGGTTGCCAGAGCGGCCATGCTGCTGTCATGGCTGGTCTTCAGCCCACTGATGCCTGGAGGGGACAAGGCTAGACGCCCTGGGGGGTAAGGCTGCCAGTGGCATTGCAATGACGATCCCCAGTGACGGTTGGAGAACCTGCAGGTGGTGCCCATCTCTGCCCTGGGGCCTCGGGAAGGGAGCTCCCGTGGGGCCACCTCCTCCTGTTTCTCCACAGCCCAGTCACCACGCAGCCTCCTGGCTGCACACTAGAGGGAGCCAGCGCCGCTCACCCAGGCCCCGCCCTCCACAGTGTCCACAGACCTCACTGGCCATGGGCTCCTGGGCCTCGCCACCTGGGCGAGCCTTGTCTTTGGCACTGTCTCCCCAAGGCTTGCCCCATGCCCATGGGCCACCTGCCAGGCACCACACCCTGCCTGGCACTGAGCCTGCATCCTGGCCTCGAGGATCACACCTCCCACAGGGTGCTCACGGAACCTCGGCCATTCCCAGAGCCCAAGGCCCACTCTGTCACCGAGGAGCGACCCACATCCCCGGCTCAATGGGTGTGCAACTGGGGCCAGGCAGTGAGCAGAAGGCAATGGGAAGACCTTCCCTTCAAGGAAAGCTGTGCGTGTGTGTGCATGTGACGTGTGCACCCATGGGAGGCTTGTGCACATCATGTAGTGTGGTGTGTTTATGTGTGCATGAGTGTGGTGTGTGCATGCGTGTGGGGTGGGGTGTGTATGTGTGTGATGTGGGGTGTGTGCACACAGCACGTGTGGGGTGTGCATGCATGTGGTGTGGCTTGTGTGCATGTGTGTGGTGTGTGGTGTGCATGCAGCACGTATGGTGTGCATGTGTGTGGTGTGGGTGTGCACGTGTGTGGTGTGGGTGTGCACGCGTGTGGTGTGGGGTGTGCACGCGTGTGGTGTGGGGTGTGCATGTGTGTGGTGTGGGTGTGTATGTGTGTGGTGTGGGGTGTGCATGTGTGTGGTGCAGGGTGTGAAGACACCGGGCTCCTGGCAGGCATGGGTGGCTGCACACTAGCACCCTGGATGGCCGCCTCTAGAGGTTGCAGCCAGAGCTCTGTGGTGGCAGTGCTGACGGTCAYGTGTAGCTGAAACAAGCTGAAATAGCCACTGGACCCTGCTAGAGGCCAGAGACTTTCTTGAAGGACTCAACGCCCCTAGAAACAGCACTTCCTGTTAGGCCAACCTCCTTGAAGAGTCTGCCTTTGACAGTTCAGGGCGGGACTCCAGGTGTAGAAGGGACACTTTCCAGCTGAGTACATACGTGTGTCCTTGCACGGCACCAGCCTGAGCCTGAGGTGAGGAGCTGCCCTGCCCACCCTCAGCTACCGCTCTGTCCTGGTCCATGCTGACTTGGTCAGCCCTGCCATACAGGCCTGGGAATTGCTGTGTTCTTGAGATAGGAGTCGGTCACCTCCCCTTCACCCACTCCCAGGACAGCTCGGCTTTTGACTTGGGTCTGAAGGGCACTGACTGCTCTGAGAAAGCCATGCGGCTCTGGGGACCCACTGTTGGCATCTGGGTTCCGTGACAGCCAAGGCCTCAAACATGCCGCCCGCACCACCAGGAGCTGTCCCTAGTCGTGGCTGGCAAGAAAAGGGCACTTCCATGAAGCAAGCGATGGCCTGAGCAGCCGTCCAGGCTGGGGACTGGCCCCTGGGCTTCAGTGTGAATAAAGTGTCATTGCAGCTCAGATGCACTCGGGGATGTAGTGTGGCTGTGGACGCCGACGTGCTGCGACAGCCTGATCTATGCTGGGACACAGTCCTTTCCTGGGACACTTGGCCTTGGAGATGTGTTGACTTCGACGCTGGGGGGTGGCCACAATACGTGTCACAAACTGTACCAGCTGAACGTGCCTCAGGGGAGTCTTGTTGCCAGCTTAGATGGAGCGTGTCTGAGTGGGAGTGAGGGACACAGCTGCAAGCCAAGGAGGAGAACCAGAGGGAGTTTGGATGCCGTCACGAGAGGAAGCTCCGGTCAGGAGCCGTGGCAGAGCCAGCCAGGTCTTCATTAGAGACCTGATGGAACAGAACCTGCCCGAGGAGCATTACTTTTGAGAAATAAAAGAGGAAACTGTTTCATTCAACAGTTTAATTAAAATCAAGATGTCGTAACTGTACTACGTGAAAATTATTAAAGGCATTAAGTTGGCTTGTGGGTWTCACTCCTGAAAAGACCTTTTCAATAAAATTCCACCCGCAGTCTCATGGATCTGAACACAGCGTTCATGGATCGAGTGCCCAGTTCCCGGGTGTTCTTGGTGGCTCTGTGGTTCCTCCCAGCTCAGGATTGCCTGGACGCACCTGGGGTGCTATTTCCGGGTCAGTGCAGTGGGAATTCAGAGCCGGAGGGTCCTATTTCTGCGTGGCCTCTTCTCAGGTTCATCTGCTCTTGGACTGCTTTGGTCGCGTGTCTAGTCCCATGCCTGCCTTGGCCCCCATGGCTGGGGATTCAACAGATGCTGTGTCCACCACCCAGTGAGTTCAAAGGAGCAGGGACATCGGAACGGAAAAATGCTGTCACCCTTCTCCCCACAGAGCCCCCGGTGTGATGACACAGGCTGTCCTTGCGGGCCGGCACGCCAGCTCTTGCAAAAGCTGAACTCCAGCAATGGTGTTTATTTAACGCTCAGTTCTTTAACAAAAACACAGCAAAGAAATTTGGAAAGATAAATATTAGTGTTTTCCTACTGCGGACAAGAAGGAGGGCAGAGCTGCGGGTGGCGGGAGGCCGGTGCTCTGGGACACTGAAAAGGCCCAGGCACTGGGACCGCGGCCTGAGACCGGGCGGCACCTCAGTGTGAGGGATGGTAGCTGTGCTCCTCTCGATGGCAAGCAGGACCACCTGCTTTACAGAGGCTTCGTGGCAATGGCCAGGCTGAGTCAGAGGACGTGGCCTAGGAGGACCAGCACTGGCCGGGGGGGAGAGGCCTCCCCTGGTGTGCACCTCCTTGTGTAGAACGAGCAGAAGGAAAGCTCCCTGCTGGCCTCCTACACCATCTTACCCAGTCCTTACAGCAGCGAGGAGCCCACTGGGAGGCCCTGTCTCCTCCACTGTCCTCCCCAGGCCACCCCAGAACCCAGCGGGGCTCTCACATGTCTGTCATTGGACTGACCACCCTGTGCTCCAGGTGAGCCCGCCTGCCTCCTGTTCTTCCTGGGGCGCAGGCTCCTGTGGCCCATGGCAGGGTGCACAGAAGGGAGCAGGCCCCTGCGCCAGCTGTCTGGGCATCTCAGTGACGAATGGGGAGCTTATGTGTCATGGACACAGGAGGCTGTCATCTGTCACCTCCACCATGGATTGTGGGACAGAGCATGAGATTGGAACCCAGTGGCCTCAGAGAGCCCTGAGGTCACCCAAGTGGCACCCCAGGATGGCTTGACACCCATAAAGCTCCTTCCCAAAGATCATAGGAACAGAAACACACCTGCCTCAGCCAGTCCCTGCTCCAGACACTGGCCACCTCCACAGGAGGGGCTCCTGTACCTTCCCGCACTTGGGTGGCCCTGGCCGGGGGACCCTCAGATACCAGGCCTCCAAGGTGTGACCTGGAATGTCCTCCCAGGAGGCAGACGGCCAAGGCCCTCACGGGCTCTTCCACAACTGTCACCTAAAGCCATCAATCAGATGCCAGCAAACATTTACCCAGCACAGGTCATCAGCTGCAAAGGTCAGGAAACGAGACAGCAGACCACACAGAGCCTCATGCCATCAGTGTGGAGCTCCAAGCTACCTCACCCTGGCCCAGCAGCCTCTGCAGGTCGCAGGAGAGGATCCTGCGTGGGCTTCAGAGGCCTCAGGCCCGGTATCTGTGATAGCCGTATGTCAGAGTTACGGCAAGTGGCACATCCAGGCAGTGGAATATTATCCACCCCTGAGGAGAGTGGAGTTCTGAGGCATGCTGCGTGAACAGACCTTGAGCACCATATGTGCAGTGACACAAGCCAGTCACAAAAGCACATGCCTGCCCCGAAGTCGAATTCAGAGACAGAAAGCAGAGCTGAGGTTTGGGGAGGAGTGAGCGTCCAATGGTCTCTGTCCACATGATGAGAAGTTCTGCGAAGAAGCACCATGATGGC